GTGTGTGTGTGTGTGTGTGTGTGTGTGTGTGTGTGTGTGTGTGTGTGTGTGTGTGTGTGTGTGTGTGTGTGTGTGTGTGTGTGTGTGTGTGTGTGTGTGTGTGTGTGTGTGTGTGTGTGTGTGTGTGTGTGTGTGTGTGTGTGTGTGTGTGTGTGTGTGTGTGTGTGTGTGTGTGTGTGTGTGTGTGTGTGTGTGTGTGTGTGTGTGTGTGTGTGTGTGTGTGTGTGTGTGTGTGTGTGTGTGTGTGTGTGTGTGTGTGTGTGTGTGTGTGTGTGTGTGTGTGTGTGTGTGTGTGTGTGTGTGTGTGTGTGTGTGTGTGTGTGTGTGTGTGTGTGTGTGTGTGTGTGTGTGTGTGTGTGTGTGTGTGTGTGTGTGTGTGTGTGTGTGTGTGTGTGTGTGTGTGTGTGTGTGTGTGTGTGTGTGTGTGTGTGTGTGTGTGTGTGTGTGTGTGTGTGTGTGTGTGTGTGTGTGTGTGTGTGTGTGTGTGTGTGTGTGTGTGTGTGTCTGTATAACGCATAACTCATGAACCGATACACGGAAAAACACCAAATTTCAAACTTAAGCTTTATTCCAGCGTCTAATGAGCTGATTAGATTTTGGGCCGAGTCGGAACATCTGGGGGGGTACTTTATAGGTGGTCATTTTTATATTTTATGGAATATATCTGTTATTTACGTTTGGGGAAGAAAATTTTTTAAATAAAAGTTACTTCTTATTTTATTATCTATAATTTTTGTCATTTACAAAATTTTCCTAAAATGGTCCGTATTCGAGAAATTTTACAAAATGTAAAAAAATATTTTTTTTTATAAAAATTGTTCAAACAAAAGTTGTTTGTAATATAATTCTCTATAATTTTTGTCCCATAGATAATTTCTCTAAAATGGACCGTATTCGAGATATTTGAGAAAATGTGTAAATTTCGAAATTTGAAGAAAACTCAAAAACGGATAAAGAAAAAATCAATAAATTTTAAACTTAAGTTTTATTTCGGCCTGACGTGAAATGATTAGATTTTGGACAAAGTCGGAACATCTGGGGGGGTACTTTATGGGAGGCTGTTTATATATTTTATGGAATATATCTGTTATTTATGTTTGGAGAAGAAAATTGTTCAAATAAAAGTTACTTCTAATATTATTATCTATAATTTTTGCCTTATGTAAAAATTTCCTGAAATGGTCCGTATTCGAGAAATTTGACAAAATGTGCAAAATTCTGATTTTTATGAAAATTGTTGAAATAAAAGTTGTTTGCGACATCGATCTCTATAATATTTGTTCATACATGATTTTTTTTAAATGGACCGTAATGGAAAAATTGTAGGAAAAGTGCTAAATTTAAATTTTTCAGTATTTTCATTTTCAATGAATATCTATAGAAAAATGTTTCGCGGTAGATGTATGTGGACAATGTATATATATTTAGTTTATCCTCTAAACATTTATAGAGATGCTGCAATAGGTTGTACACAATAAACGGAAAAAGCCTGTAATAACTAGATAGGAAAGTCATGTGTTGGACACATCAGATTTTTTTTTATGTAAGTTCAGCGATAATTCTTTAACACGGTGTCCGATTTCAATGATTCTTTTTTTGTTAGTAAGGGGGTACCTCAGGGGTGGCCACATATAAATTTGGATAAGATGTGGTGACGGCATCTGCACGTTTTTGAAGTCGGTTTTTTTAAATTTTTAATTTAGATCACTTGTTACCATCCTCGGTCATAGGGAATGGTCCAGCAATATAGTTTACTAACGTTGTAATGCTTCATGGGAGTCTTCCTTTTTCGTTGGGGTCCATTACTCATAGCTCATGGTATATTTCTTCTTACACCAGTCGTTTACATCATCGGAACTGTTCATCCAATAAAACTTTTCACGAACTCTCTGAATGATTTTATTAACACCGAGATGTCTTCTTCATGGACTGACGTGTTACTTACGAGGTACTTCGGCTACTCTCGTCTTTGGAATGACCAATTGTCTTTTATCTTCGGAACCATCATCGTTCTCTAGTATTTGCCAAGTAGGTCGATGATTTTCCTTTTTCCATTGTCGCATCTTCTTTAAAACGGGATCGTTTTCTTCTTCTTAAGTTTGGCAGGGGCCCACTCATCGTTGACTTCAGTTGTTTTTAGTAGTCCACTTTCTTTGGATTCTGCTCTGTTGCAATGAGACCACTCTGTTGGGCATGGTCTTCTAGAAAAGGAATCGGCATTTCTGTGGCAAATTCCGGCTCTATGTTCGATCTTAGAGTCGTACTCTTGAATTCGTTCGATCCATCTCACGATTTGATCCTCTGGGTTCTTGAACTGCCTCAGCCACTTAAGATGGGCCTGGATTAAAAATTTTCTTTCATATAGGTATTGATAGAAGTGTTTCACAACTGCCAGGAGTTCTCTTCCCATGACACAGTAATTTTGGGACCACTTTATTAAAATAACCTAGTATTCTTTCTTTCTCCCTTGAATCTGTGAAAGCACTCTTTGAATTTCCACATTCTTGGCATTAGTATCCAGAATAAATTGGTGGGTAGTCTATTATTGGCACTGCTGTTAAATGCTTCTTTAATGTTTCAAAGCAGTTTGACAATCTTCGTTCCAGCAGAATTATCTCGCTCTTCTGTTAGTCGTGTTAATGGCTTAGCAATATCTGCAAATTTCCTGATGAATCTTCGATAGTTCGTACATAGACCAAGAAAACTTCTTATTTGATGTTTGTCAGTTTTGTCACTCTTTGATAGAAGCGACTTTTTCTTTATCTACAGCCACGTTTTTCTTGCTGACTATAATTGAATTATTTCACAATAAACATTCCAAAGCTGCCAATTGTTGAAATGGACAATAATTTTTCATTTCAAGAACTTATGGTGCAATAGATCTTTTCCGTTATTGATGATCTCTATTACTCATGCGCAAATTCTACTTCCTCTTAATCATCAAAATTTATTGTTCTCATGTTTCCTACCCTACATATGCAAATGTCATTTTGTTTTTGAGTTTAATAGTAATGGTAGAGAAGCCAGTGACATTTTCAGGTGTGTTAATTGTGAAAGGTAAAATTTTATTACAAATATATCGTTCATTCTTCTTTGTATAACATGGAAATAGTTTGCTACGCAGCGATGGAGCCCTCGAAGATGACGTTTTCAAAAAATCCTGTGTAGAAAATGCTACTATAGAAGCGCAAACTTGAAACTTATAGATATTATATACATAAAAAGTTAGTAGAGAAAAGTTTCTTGCAATTTGGCTCACAGTGGGTACCTTCTTGCTTACTGTTAAGGCATTTTACGTTTATATCGATTGCAACAAAGTATTTTCATCTTCTACAGGTGTGGGGGATCATAAAATTAAACAAGTTGTAGTCGGATGGCTGTTTATTCCCACAAAATAAACCTGATCATAAATACATAGCGGCATTTTACACATAACCAAAACTTTAACATAACCTTAAAGCACCTTACACATCGAGATCATAAATCAATCTAACAAAAACGGAAACACAGGTGACGGACTGACAACTGTCACCCTAAACAGTAATACCAACATGGTTACTAATATTAACATGGCGCGAAATACAAATACACCTACACAGGGTAAGAATTAACGATACATTTATAATTTAGCATTCTGCAAATGTGTACTAAAAAAGTTTCACTGGTTTCCTACTATATAGAATCCATGACAGTTATTTAAAGTAAAGATGATATGGGGTAATCGTCGTAGCCAACCCATTAGTTGTACGGCTAGGATATGAAAGAGATAGCAGAAAGTGTTTGGAAAATTACTAAATTCAAAATTACTGCGCTACTACGTCATTATACAACCTTCGCTTCCATCCATCGTCGCCTTAGAGAAAGGCGGAACCTAAAGAGTTCCGGTGGTGGTTGTCGTCCCAGTACAACTCGTACGGTTGAATTTGAAGTAGTTTTATATCGTGTGAAGAAAAATCAAGTCACAGTGTGTCGCGCAAATATTGCACTCCATACGGGATCCTCCAATGGTTTTTGGATCATAACTTAATAGAGTCTCATTAAGGAAGAAAAGTATGGTTTATTGACAAGGCATGTTTTACGCCCGATGGTTATTTTAATGTAGAAACAGCCACATTTTTTGATATAATAAAAAAAATCCTCATGGTGTGGTCTTTAGAAGACACCAGCAACAATTTTCTGTACACATGTGGGTTGGTATTGTTGGAGAGAATCTAATAGTTCATTTCGTGCCTGCTCGTTTGAACGAAGATATTCTGCAAATTGTTTTGCCTCTATTATTAGAAAATGTCCCTTTAGATATTATAAATAACATGTGGTTTCAACATGTTTTGGTTTGAACGTGAGCCAGTATTTAAACCAACTGTTTCTTCGCTGATGTATTGAAAGAGGAGATTCCGTGGCTTAGCCTGCGCGTTCTTCAGATCTCAACACCCTAGATTTTGTCTTATCTAAAATCTTTAGTCTACAAAACGCCAATTGGTAATGAGGAAGATCTCTTGGCAAGAATAATGGGCAGTTTTAGAAAAGCTGTTCCAGGAATATTCCATAGGGTCCGCGAGTTAAGAAATCGACGGTGCAATTTTTGCATTGAAGCAAATGGTCAATATTTTGAACAATTATTGTATTTTTATTTTATATTTCTTCTGAACATTATTCACATTAATATTAATTATTTGAAACTGAAATTAAGAAAATTGAACATTTATTTTTTCTGTCATAACGGCTCATTTGTGGACAATATGTTTATTAAACAACAGAGGTTTGTTTTGATGTCCCCTAGCACCCATTAAAGTTTGTCGTTATGTTTTTGGACCACCCTGAGTATCATTAACCCTGTAAAAGCCATCAGGCAGCCATTTGGAATGCCTAATACTTTTTATCATCAAAAAGATTTGTTAAATTGCAAAAAAAAAATGAATAAGTAGAAAATGTTTGTGTTAAAAAAAAATAGGCACAATTGGTACTAGATTTCAAAATATTACGATTATTTTTTATTGCAGGTAAAATGGATGATGTACTGGATAGTTTTCGCGCTATTTACATGCGCCGAAACGTTCACGGATGTCTTTTTGAGTTGGTAAGTCTAAAAAGTCAATAAAAAGGACAGTTTTGAACAATTTTTGTTTTTTAACCTATTTTCGTGTACAAAATATGTAATAATTGTTGAACAATGAAAAAATGAGTGAGGCCGAGTAATTTTTTTTATCACTAATTCTAATTGAAGACTTTTTGAAAAAACAACATATGTCCAAAATGTTGGTTTTTTAGAATCAAAAATGTTTCCACTCCACAGTGTATGTTTTCGAAAGTAATTACTCATTTAAATTAGTTTCTTCTACACCCCCACATGGATATTGGCAATTCTACGCACACAGACTACAAAACGAAAAAGTTTGCAATTGGACAGTGATAAATCATTTTTAAATTAGTTATTTTATCTTAATAACAACCTAAAATAATTTTTAAAACTTGTAGATTTTCGTGGGTCGTAGAAAAATATACTGTACAAACTTCGTCTTCGTGCAATATGGCAATCATATCCACTCTTGTTGCATAAACTACTCTTTACATTTAGTTGTGTATGTATTTATAGCAGTATGAAAGAAAAATATATTTTACATATTAAAAAAAACATAGTTGTATATGTTGTTCTTGTGGAATTTTGTGAAAATTAAAGAACTATCGATATTTTTCTAGATTTCTAACAGTCAAACTAGGGTATTTGTATACTTCTCTTTTGACTACTAGATAGTATGTACAGCTTATTTTATATATATATATATATATTTTATGATATGTACTGTTTTTGGAGTCTTCAATTATTGTTTCCGCTACTGGTTTTGAATGCAAAAATCCCTCAGCCGCACATTGGTCACGCGAATCGATACAAAATCAAAATTATTGAAGTTTGGCTTAACCAACACTTAGAGAGTCAAAAGTCTTTTCAAAACCATATATGTTTATAAAATCGTTAGCCTACTTAAATTTTTATAACAAAAAGAAAAAAAATATTACAATATTTTTATTTAATTGCCATTCATAATAGTCCAGGGAAGTTAGGAAAAATAGCGGAAATTTTTAGGGACAGCAGATATCGAGATGCGGTTTTCTGCATTGTGTTCTGGAAGGTCCCAGGAAAAAAGTCTATATCATCTGGTTTAGCCATTTTTTGAAAAATGCCTTGTGGGCCTGAAAATGCATTTTCCAATTGCATCCTTACTTGCACGACTGGAAATTTAGAAAAATCGCTCGGAAATCGTTACTCGGGGGGTTTTCGGGGCTGCCGAACTCGATTCTGGCATTAGAATTGCACGGGGGTGGCTCTGTAGGGTTGTCTGGGGGTGATTGGGGGGAAATTTCAGCGTCCATGAAAATCACTTCAAAATCGGTACTCGGAGGGTTTTCGGGAATGCCAAATTCAATTCTGGCATTAGACTTCCCCGAGGGTGCCCGGGGGTGGCTCTGTGGGAAATGGTAAAAAAGAAAGTGAAAAATCACAAATTATGAAAATAATACTTTATTTATTAATGTTGAATTATTTATTATAAACTTAAATACTAAACATCTTGTTCAAACTCTTCTTCTTCCCCTTCTTCTTCTTCTTCTTTCTCGTTACTATTTTCGGCCCTGTTGGAAGTGCCTTTTTGGTTTGAGCAATTGCCATGCAAGTGAGCACTCCAACCCACTTCGGCCACAGTCGGTTTCACAAGAACAAGAAATTTTGCTAAAAATTTCCTCGGGGCTGGCTTCCTGGGTCATGGTGACAGGACTGAGCTCTCCATCCACCAGTTCCCACTCCCATTCCAACGGATCTAAGGTCTCTTCTTGACCTTTTAAGCCTGTATTTGGAAATAGACACACTTGATATGCTCGGTTAACGCATTGGCAGTCGGGATTATGCGTGCAAGATCGACTTTTTAAGAATTGGCGGACTCAGCATATATTTTTGCTCGATAGCTTTGGACGAGCTCAATTGCAGGTTTATCGCTCGTGCGCCCATCTTTGGGTGCCCCGTAAAGAGCCAAAGCTATACGAAGCCAATGATCTATGGATACAGGTGGTTGCTTAAATATTTCTGCAAACCCATGTAAATCATCGGATTTGTCAAACAAATCGCAGAATTTTACTTTCCCTCGATAGAAAAATGCTGAGGTTGTGTCGCATTCCGTGAAAGCATGTAGAAATAATATATTTATTTATTTATTTATGTAGTAGTTTACATTTATATTAAACAGTAATATAATTAATTATAGGAATAAGAGAAAAATAAATCACTCTATTACTTAACTACTTAATTCCTAAATTGAGGTCACCCTCTAAATAATATTTAAAATGAAAACTTCTACTCTAGTGCACGATTGTACTTAAAGTACTGTGTGTGCACTCTTTTTCTTATACATGTATCTTTGAGGTTTTTTTTTTTATTTTTTTTTTTTAAATAACAAAAAATATATTCTTATTTAAGCTAAGTATAACAGATTTTTGTACTAAAGTAGTAGAAATGTGGTAACAATAATTCGATAGGAGATAGTAAAATAAGTATATATATGAACAATAATTGTGTGATATATTATTTAAAATTAAACTATATAATTAATTACATAATTGCTTTGGAGTATCCACTGTCATCTCTTTTTTACACTTAGAATATGGTTTTACTTTAATATTATTAGGAAGGCAGTTAAAGATTTTTGGACCAAGACAATAAATATGATTTTGGCAAATGGTGTGCTTGGGGTTTTGGCGTGCGACATTGTTTTGAGCTGCATTTCTTGTGTTAGGCCCATGGCTTATGGATTCCTTATAGTAGGAAAATTTTAACATGAATCTAACTACTGCTTTAAGGTGTAACTGTCTAATATCTAATAACTGACTCTCTTTGAAAAGCAATTCAGTAGGAAACCTTTTATTTTTAAATAACATAATTTTTATGATATATTTTTGTGCAACCTGATGCACGCGCTTCTGGATGCCAAGCTCTCGGAAGAATACACATCAGGTACTCTAGCGGAAGGCGGCTTCACTAAGAACACTTCTAGATTCGGCGATTTTTATGGATGCTGCCATTCCCCTCCAATCACCCCCATAGACAACCCCACAGAGGGACCCTCGGGTGCCCCAGCATGGACGCTGCCATCCCCCCCCCCAATCACCCCCAGACAACCCCACAGCCACCCACGAGCGCCCCCGGCGAAGTCTAATGCCAGAATTGAATTCGGCATCCCCGAAAACACCCGAGTAACGATTTTGGAGTGATTTTTATGGACACTGCTATTTCTCCCCCCCCCCAATCACCTCCAGACAACCCTACAGAGCCACCCCCGAGCGTTTCCGGAGAAGTCTAATGTCAGAATTGAATTCGGCATCCCCGAAAGCCCCCGAGTAATGAGTTTGGAGCGCTTTTCCCATGGACTATGCAATTTTCCCCCCAGAATGACCCCACAGATACCCCCGCAGAGTCGCCCCCGGACAATTCCAATGCTAGAATTGAATTCGGCATTCCCGAACACCCCCCCAAGTAGCGAGTTTTGAGCGATTTTCATGCACGCTGCCATTTATCACCCCCACGCGCACCTCCACAGAGCCACCCTCGTGCACCACCGGGTAATTCTAATGCCAAAATCGAGTTCGGCAGCCCCAAAAACCCCACGATTAACCATTTCCGAGCGAGTTTTCCGAGTTTCCAGTTCTTATAATGGTGCAAGTAATGATGCAATTGGAAAATGCATTTTCCGACCCAGAAGACATTTTTCAAAAAATGGCTAAACCAGACGATATAGACTTTTTTCCTGGGATTTTCCTGAACACAATCGAATCTCGATATCTGCTGTCCCTAAAAATTTCCGCTATTCCGATCGATTTTGATCTAAATGCCCTGGACTCTAATGTTTCTACAACATTGGAATTTTCGTTTTGTCAAAATAATCAATTGTTCATAACCAGGGCCGCCGTGAGCCAAGTCGGGCCCCGGGACAATTCTCCAAGGTCCGGCCCCGCTACAATTTGATAAAAAATTTCTAAAAAACAAAAAAGTGTTCAAGCAAAAATTTATCCTCCTCTTTACTTGAATTTTTCTAAAAAAAAGGACTTCCAAGGTAAAACTTCTCCTCTTCTTTACTTCAATTTCTCTAAAAAAAGTCTTCAAGCTAAAACTACTCCCCCTCTTTCCTGAATCTCTTTAAAAAAATGGTCTCCAAGCCGAACTTCTGAAGGCCTAAAAAACGTCCTCGCCAAAGTTGCCCTTATACCGCTGCGGGCCCCCACTTCAGCCCGGGCCCCGGGAATTAGTACCGGCTACCCCCCTCCTCTTGTCGGCCCTGCTCATAACTAATCTACTATGGCCTAGTTGGATCTCGTTAGGCTGTACCAGAAAGCAACATTCTCACCAATGTCCTTTTAGCATAAACAATTATTTGAGATAAGGGCTTCTTATTATTGAGGTTTGAGAAAAAAAACATTCCAAAATGCCACAATTCTAATTACTACCAAAAAATTGTATATAATTTTATTCTACAAAATTAATTTTTATACAGGTTCCCGTTCTACTACGAAATAAAAATAATTCTGGTTGTCTGGCTACTGTCTCCCGCTACAAAGGGATCCAGCATTTTGTATAGGAAGTTTGTCCATCCGACTCTCAGCTCCAGAGAACAGGTAAAGTAACCAAAACCAAACTTTATCCAACGTTATAAATTAATACAAATACGCACATGTTCGTTTTAAGTTTTATCAATATTTTTACCTTCACAAAGAAGTTATTTCTAAAGTTGAAATCGGAAATTATAGACAGTAATGGAATGTGTAAAGAACGCTGTCAACTGTTATTGCGCCAAAGTTCGGTTGATATTTCTTATAGTTTTTTTTACTGGCGCTGGTAGTACGCACTGAGTTTGTACTAACTAAATTTTGTAATCTTTTTTACATTTTAATCGAATTGTATTTGCAGGAAATCGATGAGTATATCAACAAAGCCAAAGAGCAGAGCTACCGACAAGTACTAGATATTGGTTCCAAAGGCGTTTCGGCCATCATGCAAACCGCCATCAAGGTGAGTTTACTCGTATTGACGTTGTTGCATGGTGTGCGATTGGTGTCTTTTTTTTACTTTCTTTTTTGCTTTATTTACACCGATAGATAGATTGAAAAGTGGTTGTAGTAATAAGATGAGTTTAATAACACACAATTTTAAATTGAATTTATGTAATGTTCCTAAAGCGGCGATGGGAAACAGTAACAGAACATTGTTAAAAAATAAATGAAATTATAAAGACCTGTGATAAATAGACGTACTAGTCTGATACCATCATCCATATAAACAGAACAAAAATTATGAAATAAACTGGCGAAGAGGTGTGGATTCTTGAAATTTAATCCACGACCACATTACCCTGTGTCTTCCAAAGTTGTTAATTATTAACTGGTTCGTTTTGCAACAAACAATATTTATAGGAATAAAATACACCGGATTAAACTTTAACAACTCTTATTAAGTCGAAGGACCATCTTCATTTTCTAGAATTGTCCGGTCAGAATTTGAAATACAAAGCTAACTTACTAACATATGCTTGACAAGTACCGCGCTCGAAGTCAGATGTGTAACAAATGATTTAAAACGGAACAATTTACAACAAAATAATTTAAAGGAATACCGTAATATCACCTGTGTTGACCTGTAGAGAACTAAGGTACTCTCCATATGTAAGTGACCGCCTGGAATTACTTACTCCACTTAATGTGTACTTGAGGGAGTAAACTGTTTTATGAAAACTAGCGCCCGGGCAACCCTTGTTCCAGATAATAGTCTGGTGCTTCCCACGACTTCCAATTCCACGCAAGTGAGACAAGGAGACGTGTCACAAATGGCGCTTGAGCAAGGACTTATTTTTTAAAATTATTTTTGTTTTTATAAGCAATGGAACCGTGTCACAAATGGCGCCCGAGCAAGGACCATACGGTGGTTTACACACCTAGAATAATGGTACATTTTTCTTTTTCTCAGTATTTTTTTATCTTTTCTCAACGTCAACACCATATCACCTCCGCCGCCCGCCGTTAGGCCCGAACCAATCCAAACCCACGAGTGGATCCTCACGTTTGTAAGCAGCGTATCGGAAACGCCTGGATGAAATTTGTATTCTCAAAGGGGTTGACAAAAACCCATGCCGTACATACCCGAACTTCTAACCGGAGAACCAGCGTTATGGTTTCATAATAACAGGACTGGTTAGCCTACTTGGGAAGCCTTCGAGGCCGACTTCTGCATTTTCTTTTTCTCGGTAACCTATCATTTGCACCTTGTAACCGAGATTAGCCGCAGACTGCACCGTAGGAATAAGTCCGTCATTTCCTATATTAATGACTTGGAGGCCCTCATGAGGAGACATGGGTCGTTGACCAGTGAGCAACAATTAGGGTGACTTCGTAATTTTCAGCCCGAATACAGACAGCAAATCCGAAAGAGATTTTAGTACCTAGTAGCTCCAGAACAATGCCCCTGTATCCCGTTACCAGACTCAAGGGCCTCCATGTCATCTCAGTACCATTACCGGCTATCGTGGTCCCTAGAATCACGAGCGATTCAAGCCAAGCAAGGCTAATATGCTTGTTCCATCATGGACCGTATTTCCCTCCCGTAATGTGAAATTAGACGCGTAACCATCGACGTCCCGGGAAACTGTACTCTTATGTAAGTGTAGAGAAAAGGATCACTTAAATGACTGTCCCAATCCGGGGAGACTCTTCTGTTCCCGTTGTTTGAAACCTGGAGGCTAGTCAAAACACTGTCCGTGCGACTCGCAAGGAAACGCCACTGAAGCTGTCTGGAGGGCAAGCTTCGTCAGCTTCCGCCGTTAGCTTCCCAAGAGACCGTCCTGCTTTCCTAATATAGATCTCGGCTATATTTAGAGTTAGAAATAATGTAGAATATATTTCTCAGCCCTTCTGGATACTGGAGCATCCCGATACTACCTAGTAGACCGCCTAGCTAGATATCTTACCAATAATAAGCAACCTAAAAATACAGTAGCCACTTCTGCAAGGTTAGCTAATGGTAGAACGGTCCAAGTCCAGGATTTGTAAGAGGTTTTCTCAACTGGTTAGCAATACTTGTGACATTCGAACTGGGTATGCTCGGGCGCCAGTTTGTTTTAGAGTGGTTTGTTCCACTTTACCTATTGGAACTAGTTCCAAGAAGGGCTGCAGGTAGCTGCAGTGAAGAAAGAAAATTCCAGAGGGTCAACGATATTTCAGTAGTTACGTAGTACCTGAAAGAGAGACTTACGACAAGGAAATGAAATGCCAGCTTTCAATTTGACACATATATTGTTCGCTAGTTACAATCGTTTCGGTTAATATACATTGAAGCTAAATAATTATATTAACAAGACCTCCCCAAGTTATTGGGTCTAACCCTGACAAAATAAAAAAAATCGTAATGGAAGTTAATGGGTAAAATAAAATAAAAAGTCAATCGGACAAATGAGGGGTTTATGAATAAAAAGGTGTAGGGAAAACGGCGGTCAAACCAGCAGTACTACGCGGCGTTGTAGCAAGTCGACGGTCTTTGTCAGGGCGAACTTTCGGAATCATGAATTTCTCCTCTAAGCATCTAAGAGACACGGAGGGGAGTGGACAGAAGCGGAAGTAATGTGCAACAGAGAAATTGCAAATCTAGCTACGGCTTAACGGACCACGCGGGATAGTCACTATACATCGACTTACAATTCAGAGTCCAATCAACTGGTCGGGAATTCTGAGTTGGCTATCAAATTAGCCCAATCTACTGCGGGAATAGTCAGCCACTGTCTTCAATAGATACTCTAGTTCACGGAATTTTATGAAATGAAATTTTAAGCGCTGACGTAGTGCATGGAATGGTTGCCATCCTCACGAAGCTTGATATCCGATTACAGCTTAAAAGCGGGAAAATTTTCGTGGGTGACGTGTTAATGCCTCCAACACCCAGATAGATACCTTGGTAGCCTATTTTGATCATAGATCATCCGTTAGAGCAACCGTCAGTTCATCCGTTACCGTCCAAAGCTCCGAATAACATTGAGGTAAACGCCTTGGGCAGGCCTAAGCCGTTAAAGTCGTTGATAACTGTATCGGGAAGAAACCGCATCCTGAGCCACAGAGCGATAGATTATGGAGATCGAAGAAAAAACGCCCTTCGCTGTCCGAACTACAGAGCGAGAGAACATTGAGATCGAGTAATCGCCTAAAATTACTCCACTGGGGTTACTTTAAGTGCACTCTAACAGCCGTATGCATAGTCGATCGCCAACGATTCGCCAGAGATTCATCTCGGCGTATCGCCAGCGATCCGCTGGCGAAAGCCCTGAATGGTGGCGACTTGCTGGAGATTGTCACCGGCATGTCATTTCATAATGATTATCATTAAAATTACTTACTGACGAAGTATTTGTATTTCTAAATACATAATATCTCTATTCGCATTATATAACATATCTAACATGATTAATTTCTCAAAACTCAAAAAACAATGAACGAATATCAAATTTTTCCCTATAAAAGAACATGAAAACATGCTAGAGATGCCGGTGATAATCTCCAGCAAGTCGCCACCTTTTCGGGCTTTCGCCAGCGGATTGCTGGCGATACGCCGAAATGAATCTCTGGCGATGGACTATGCATACGGGTGTAAGTGTCGAGGGTCGCAGAGCAAACTGCGTTATCTAATCTGGCGCCCGGGCAACCCTTGTTCTAGATAACAGCCTGGGCCAACCCACGACTTCTACTTGCATGTATCACAACCTTGTAAGAAAATTGAACCTAATCACAATAAATTTGTCAAAACTATTTTCTATATACTAGTTGTTGAGCTATATCAGTACAAATACTGTATAAAAGTAATAAAGATGTAAAAATATAATTTAAGACCTATAAAAGTAAGTAAATTTGTTGTATACGAGTATATAAACAATATTTAACCTTTGTGATTTACTACGATTGTCTAAAGGGTGTAACCACTGATATTGCTTTTATAATTTAAGTGTTTAAAGCTCATTAATAAGGGTCGTGGATGGGGCACTAGGATATAAGAATTCAATCACCCTGAAATTGAAAATTGGGCACCACCGTATTTAAATTCGCATATCTATACGTATAAAAGTAATTGATAGAAATAATACGGAAACAAAAATTACTATTAAATTTTAATGGAAAAATAAAGGATATGCCTTCAGAAGATACGGTAAAACCAAATTCCAATCTACCTGAGTTTCTAATAATAAAATGACTTTTATTTTGAAATAGTATTCGGTAAAATATAAATTTTGACTTATCGCAACAAGTTAGGGGTTCATCAAGGGATAGAAGAGGTCTCATACGATGAAAGGTCTTCAAACAGCCTATGGTACTTCTTAGGTTCTCAAGACATTAACTACTATCAAATCAGCAAATCCTTGTAGCCTACTGTCTAGTATGATTGATGTCTATCAATCATTCATTATGTTCTTATGACCTTGACGTTGATTATTATATAAATCAGCAAATCCTTCTTCATATAACAAGGCAATAAACTTCTATTGACAAGGGGGGTAGCCATGTGTGAGTTGAGATAATTTTAAGGTGAAGGGTGAGAAAAAGTCCTTTATATCTCACAAGGAAAGCCAATGTTTAATTGTTTAACAAAACATTGAGTGCGACCGGTTTCGAAGTGTCATCACTTCATCTTCAGGCTCGCCTAGTGGAAAGGAGAATATGTGGTGTAAGGTGTGTTGGAAACAAAACGATATATAAAATAATAAAAAAGAGAAAACTCACCATACTCTCCATCCACTAGGGAATACTACAAAAACAAGTTTCATCAATTTTGGGTTGAAATAAATTGTAAAATGAACCGATTTACACGTAATAAAAAGTTAAAAATATTTGAAAAAACAAATATTAGTCAATTATAGTAAAAATTTAAAATATTCAAGACTATACAAAAACAAATCACATACATTAAACAGATTAAAAGATAAGGCCTATTTTAAACATTGTTGTTTTTTAAAAAACTAACATTTTTTGAAAGGAGACCTG